ACAGAAAGGATCCAGGCTTTATTTTCTAATTTCAGTTAGAATGATAATTAATTTTCTCGAGTACTTTATATTTTTGCAACGTTTACAATGGTCCAGTTTGCCGGTAATAATACGATGTTAGATCTGATTTGTTAATCAAGTGTGTAACGTGTGATGAATTTTCCAATGATATCCTTTCGCGTAAGAAAGATAATAGAGCTCTCACTCTTGACAAAAACCATGTAAATTACTGTATCACAAAGACAGGGTGTTACGGATGGAAACGACGCACCATCGATCAGTTTGGTAATGAACGCCCTACTCCAGATGAGCGTTGCTCCAACAATCGACAAATTCAACCTATTGAATCCATCATGGTCGATAAAGGAGGAGGAATAGGAGGAATAGGAGGCTTTTTAGTTATTTCCACGTACCTTCATTTGTTGGATGAGACGTCTCATCGAAAACCTCCCTGCACACGATCGTAGCAGCGCTGTCTTGAGAAATGCTCATGCTAACACTGCACCCCTACACCCCGTAAGCGTAATGTTTGCATTACACGACTACGTTTTCCGTATTTGTACAATGAGCGAGAGAATTACGGTGTGTAGGATCCAATTCATTTTTCCATATTAGTGCGCGATACATACGCGCCTCTTGCACTGCGCGAAGCTCGTTCGTCGGTCAATGTTGAATTCAGCTTGAACGTAGGCGGTGGTAGCGAAGAAAGAGGAAGGAAGATAGTAAGAGAGAACGCTGGTTGCGCCCCCCCGTTTGCCAGCTGCAGAATCAGCTGTCTGATAAGAAATACTGTCAATGACAATAATATCATTCTTATCACCGAAAAGCTCGTCAACGAGGTACAATAGATATGATGAAATGTTTTTTGCGAAACTCTTGGCTTTTGAAGATCGAATGGAAAATAACTTTAAACTCACTCTTATAGACATTAAGCTGATAAAAGTAGTATTTATTATATTTTAAACATTGATCGTTGTATTAGTAATACAATTTATATGTAATATAAATTGTTAACACAAATATAAAAAATAATTTAAGTAAATATGAGAATAAGACTAAATAGAATTTTTTAAATTGTAACTTTTAACTGCATATACACACAACTCATTGTAATATCGCATAATATTATATATTAGTACTTACATAAAGGAAAATTATTTAATTGAATTATTATGTAATTAGATAAACATTTAGCAAATGAAAGATCATATTTTAACTAAACATTTTTTCCATAATTATATTATATTATTGAATATTTAGTTTATATCATTTTTAATAATAATTTTCTTTATGTGTTTACGTATGTAAAAGATAAACAGAAGAAAATATATTTTATTTAAAATTTGTAAAACAATTCCAATTACATCCTTATCGACTATAGGGTATATCGACTATAATAAACTCAGTTGATAAAATCAAAGATATGTTATACCTACATATATGTAAATATACATATATGCATGTATGTACATATATAGGAGTTTTATATGTACATATATAGGAGCATATATGGAGTTTTAATTATAATTCTTTAAAAATAGATTTAAAATATGTATAAAAATAATTAGTGCACAATAAATGAAAAAGGGCTTTTCTTTGGAAGATTAGCATCTATTATCTTCTTTAGAGTGTAAGATATATTTATATTTCTAGTAGAAATAATAATATATTTAGCAAACAAACGAACAAAAATGTATAATAAAATTTTATTATAATAAAATATTAATTATTGTAATAATAGTGTAACTTATAATTTTTTAAATATATATTTTAAGCAATTCGTGCAATTTTATTATTTAAATCTCAATTTTTTATTTTATGGAGTTTAATATATTTAAAACAGGATTTTAACTTCCTTATTGTAAGTTTTGTTTTATTGCAAGGTTATGTATTGTCTATGTGAATTGATATAATTACAAAATTTTCTATCGTATTTTGCAATATAATAATTAAAATCTGAGTAATTCTGCACAATCTACTGAGCAATGTCTACTTTACTATCGGTTGGTTGCAATTATGAAATGCATCATGCGGTTCTTAATTCTAACACATAGAGGAAGCAACTATACAGTTTTGCTATTAAAATAATATTCGATAAAATATCTTATTCATATGGTTTCAACGTAAAATATTATCGGTTACTTGTAAATTTCTGTAAAAATTGTAACAAAATAGAAAAACTAAAAGTTTAAAATTGCCGATATTGTGCATTTTTAATAGAAATGATTTAGAAAAAATGAAGGAGAAATACTAACATCTTGATTATTACTAATATTCATAAATATTTTTTAATTAATAAAAATTATTAATATAAAAAATATTAAAAAAATTTGTTGTTAATTTTTAAAATATCAATTGTATTTAATTACAAATTTAAAATTACAGTGATAACTTTATCATATTTCAAGGGAATAGACGCTGATCCAAGTGCGCTAATTGTTCCAAAATATTTCTCAATATTTAAGTTGGAAATTTTTAATGATCGATGAACATTCACTACATTTGTCATTTTTCTGTTTGACGATGTATGGTCGATATATTATTCCATACTGTACATATTATATTTTTATTTTATAATTTGACAAAAAAATCTTTAATTGCTGATTTCCTTGCCATCAAGACATTGGATTAACAGTTTACATTATGTGTTTGTAATTTCCGTTACGGATGAGTTCTTTGTACATCCATTTTTTCATATTTCAAAAATACTTATATTCAATTTTATATTTAAAGGCATCGACATCGTGAATTCCATCCTTGTAACTAGTATGAGAAAATGTATTCTCGACAGAGAATTTAGTTGTTCCTAGTTTTTCTGGAAATTGCAACAAATAAATTCGCATCTTTCGATTATTTTCGTGTACGTAGGAACACTAAGTATGTAATTTTTGCGTCTACTATTACTGCTAAAGAAAGTTAGAAGACTTACCAAAACGTATGAATTATATCATTGTTTAATGATTATCATTGTTCTTCTCTGTCTCTTAATAAAATGTCCAATTTATTGAGAATATTTTGAGAGATATTTTTGAACAATTAGTGCATTTGGACCAACGCTTATTCCCTCGTCCTTCTATTTCCTTTTATTGTATTTTTAAGATAGGGAATCGATATTACAATTGTTTTTATCATATTTATTATATTTTTGTGTACTTAATCTTTATTTATTTTATTTAGTAATCTGCTTTTTAGCTTATTACAGATATTGCATATTATTTTATACTTAAATTATTGATTTCATTTTCGTTATATCTAATATTTTAATATATAA